CTGAATGTTGTTGTCACTTATAATATATTATGCCCCTTTTATGCTCCATCCACCAGAGTTGGCTTGCTCACTTTATGTTAGGAAGACGTGGTAGGCAGCGTCTTTACTTTGGGATCCTGGTGGCCTGAGGATAGAAGCTCTTCCTTAGCCTCCCAGTACTTGACTGGTGTATCCGGCACCTTCTTCCCCAACCTCAAGAGGGAAAAGAAAAGGCAGTTATCCGGCTGGTTGGGATCCTTAATGATTTTCCTGGCCTTATTCCTGCAGCGCCTGGTGTAAACATCCTTAAGGCAGAGCGTTCAGCATTGGAGGATGGTTAAAAGCGCCGACGCGCGGACAAGCACCAGGAGCTTCTGGTAGTGTAGGCTGATTTCCCTCTCATTACACCACCTCATTCTATTTCATTCCATTATTTTTGTTTTTGAATTTTAAAAAGACAGACAAAAGTCCCCTGAGGCACAACCAAATATTGACAAATCACACCTGTTCAGTCTTGGGGGAACTTAAATGAAAGCTACAGCCAGTGTCTCTGCGGTGGAAATCCCTGCTCCCAATCCACTTTGAGCCAAACTGCTGCTATCTTGTCAAATTTATTTCACTCAGCTGTGGCATGGGAATACTGGAACATCATGTGAGTCGCTGCAATGAGCCGTCTCATATCACAAAGACAAAATGCAGTGTTTTCGCAACAACTCTTGTTTACAGAGATGCCTGGTAAGCAAGATTTTGTTATTTTTTTCCTACCCCTAGGAGCATCCACATATACACAAGAATGCTTTGCAAAACCAGGCGAGAGATTTAAGAAGAGGGCATGAGCACTGCTTGGCAACAACCGACTCATTGTTAAAACAACGTGAAATAAGTTAATACACAGTCCCGGCTCTGTCTTGTGGCTGAATTGTGTAAATGTTAGCAGTGAAAGCATGACAATACGATCTGACAGGGCGACACGCTTTACAGAGATTTATGTACACAACAGCTTCGCCATAATGGGAAACAGAATTGTGCCCAGGCCTACAACTTGAGCCGTCTGCATGTGTTTGTTGTGAGAACTGTTACCAAATATTGCTTCAAGAGATGCTGATGCGCAAGATCAAAATGTGCTGAGCTCTAGAAAAGGCTCTTCTTCAAACCCTTTGGATTGCTTCATTTAGAACACAATCACTTTGTCCCATTGGTCTCATTGTGGCAAAAACTCATATTCACTTAAGTCACTCGAACTAAGCAGTTTTGGGTTCAGGATGCTACTGCAGAGAGCCTCAATCCCCCTTGTTGTGCTGGGTCCCTGCTGGACCACCAACGCAAAGTTTCCTTTAATGAGTGTGTGTACGTACACACACCCTCTGAGTCCACTTCATTACGACAGCCTTGTTTTCTCGTAGGGACGCCTGACACAGCAGTACCACTGATGTCTTCCATATCCACAGCCGTAGGGCCAATAAAGAGAGGGCAATGAGAAGAGAGGAAGAGAAGGAGAGAGGTGGGAGGAGATGCAATCTGCCCTACCTAGCCTCAGCCTACACACAGACAAAGACCGGCCGTGACTTCAAAAGAGAACGACGGGAAAAAAATTGCCAAGCTCTCAACTTTTCTTGAGATGGTCTCTACGGGTTAATTAGAACACCGAGTCCCACCTCATCTGCCTTCAAGTTGCATACGATGCATTCACACACACATTCAACCAACTTCCCTGTGCTCCATTAACACACTCTCCCCTACACACACACACACACACACAAACAAATCAGGCTGTGGTTGATCTGTGCACCGGTGCCTGTGGCAAACTAACATCAAACATAATCACTGTCTGTCTGGTCCGCTCAGGCCCCGTTCTGTCGCCTCTCCTCTCGGCCCTGTCCGCACTCAGGTTGGCTCAAGTCAAAACCTTGTGGTGAAAGTCAATCTGTCTCAATGCTGCGAAAGGGGCTCGGAAAACCGGTAGTGAAATTGTCATCAGAGGTGTCAGGAATGTGCCGTCTCACTGCGGTTAGATTTAACATGGCAGTGGGTTAGTGTGCTCACATCGCTGGCAAGATTTTCTTTTTGTGTGTGTAAATCCAGACAAATGTTCACCTGCGCACCACTCTCAAGATCTTTCGCTCACCTCTTTGAGAAAAGGAAGACGCATATGGAGAGCATCTGCGAGGAAAAAGAGGGAGGCCAAGAGCAAAAAAAAAAAAAAAAAGACCAACACACTGACTAAGAATGACAGATTCAGAGAAGGGAGAAAGAACACAGCCCCTTCTTGGCTGCGGCGATACATCACATTTATATGGGCAGAAGAGGCATTTGTGTCTCCTAAAGGACCTAAATAGGTAGAAGTGAGTGGAGGAGAGAGAGAGAATGGAATAGAGGGAGAGAAATACGTTACAGAGATAGAGAGAAAGGGGGCAAGGATGACAGCTGGCCGGGCACTTCATGCATCTGGCAGGGGTGACTCGTGGAGCCATAATGAAAATGCAGGGCGAGATCAGGATCAGTGTGAGCGAGGCCTCCATCCATCAAAGGACTCCCATTGAGGGAAGGAAGCTTCAATGATAACGGGAAAATATGTGGCTATTCTCAAGCCCAGATGGAGCATTTCCACATTATTGTGGCTTTAACTAAAGGCATTTCCTGCATGTCATAAATACTCAGAATGCTGTTATTTCTCAAGATTGAGCGCTGTCATGTGAGATATATTACCTCTGTATGGGTACACTCTTTCTGCTGTGATATAAAAGCTCCGTTTTTTGTTAATAGAAGCCAAAGGTGATGGCACCACCTGTCCTTACTGGCTGTCAGGCTGGTACGGGGGATGGGCTTTGCCTTTGACAAGGGCAGAGTGTGGAAGTTTACAAGTGACAATAGTTGGGTGTTGCCAAAAGAAGCATCTGGTTGCCTGGAAGAATGTGTTTGTTTGTCCCCTTACTGGAACAAACAGCTTTTATGTTCTCTCCCCTCAGTTCTGCTCTTCTTCCTGTTGACTGCATCTTTACCTCTACTAATGAACTGCCTCTGGTGCTGAAGGTGGAACAGAGCAGGCTGGTCGTGTAGCTTGCAAAGGAATAGACCCAGACCGGAGCCAGTCTGATGCGGCACAGACAAAATATGTCCTCAGGCAGCCTGACTTGGGACACCATAGATCAGGGATGTGAGAGGCAGCAAAATAAATCCTGATCTGGTAAGCCGGGCTGCAGGTCGCAGTCGCACAGTTCAGTTTTTCTATGAAGTGCCTGAGAGACATCATGACCTCTGCTGGATGGCAACACGAAGACAGAAATGTATCGTGAACTAAATGTCAAGCTGGATCTCTCAGTCTTCCTTTAATAAATGTGACTAAATAAATTCAGGTGCTTGTTTCACCACTTCATGACGACAGTTTTATGACAGTTGGCAGTGTAGTCATCATTTTGATAGTTTAAATAGGATGTACAGTAGTTGCAGCGCTTGTAGTATCTAAGGCCAGACCTGCACTAATACATTTTCTTTTTAAAATGCTGTTTGGAAAGAAAAACTATCTCCCTACACATCAATGTTTAAGCACCATTTCAGAATTAATGTCCATACATTCTAACATGCCTGAAAACACATAACAGGATCATTCACATACACTGGGATGTGCCTGCTGGTGTAAACAGGAAGCAGACTGTCTACTCTGCAGTTGGTTGCTTAGTTACAGAAAACACAACGGAGATGGCAAAAGGTAAGATCAGAGATTTCTTTGCTTGGACTTACAATAAAGGTGGAACTGTTACCAAATGTAACGCATGAGTACAAGGTAGTCAAAGCGACAGCAAACTGATTGGTGGTTGTTACAAAGCAAATATGGTGACATACAAGCTGGATCGCTGGAAGAAGTCATGGCCATGGGAAAGGTGTAACGATACCCACCCAAGAAGTATTACCTTAAAAAAAAAAGGTATGTAGGCCTTGCTATAATGTTTTGGCTTGATGCCTTAGCCCTGTTTCCACCGAGCAGTACGGTACGGTACGCTTTTTTTCTGTTTCCACTGTGAAAAGTTGTGGATGGTACCAATGGAACCATCCGTACCATCCACATTTTTAGTCCCCCCTCTGCTGGGGTACCTAGCACACAGATCTGGTACTAAAAGTTGGAGAGGACGGTCATTCTGCTCAGGGCTGAGTTGTGCTTGGTTTTGAAGCTCATGTAACCACTGTTCATACCGTGAAGAGTTTTATTAGTAAACTGTAACTATAAAATTAAAGGATGTTTTGCTCTCACAGCAGCTGCAACCCTGCCCACATTTAAGAGGAAGTGGAAACACTAGGGTCTAGGTACCATGTCTGAAGGGTAAGTGTACCATACCGAAAGTGTTTGGTGGAAACTGGGCTTTTTTGACCAATAAGACCCAATCAAGGAAGCAAATGTGGTTATTTGGGTCATCATTTTCATAAGTCTCTGTTTCTGTCGCTCCAAACTAAAACCAAACCATGGGGTTTTCAAACTAAAACGGGGTCAGCAGCATTTCCAAAAGTCTCATTTTAGGGGTACAAATCTACTTCAAAACAAAAACGTATCGGCGTGGATGTAGCCTAGACTAACCGGCTAGTCATGTAGCTTGCAAGGAATAGACCATACCAAAACCAGAGCCAGTTGTACTGCAGCACAGACAAGCAGCCAGACCTGGGATACCATGGATAAGGGATGCAAAGGCAGCAAAATAAATCCTGATCTAGTAACCCAGGCTGCTGATTGTGGCAATACAACTCAGTGTTTCTGTATAGTGCCTGAGAAACATGATATTATGGCCTGTGCTGGATGGTAGTACTAAGACAGAAAGGTGTCTTGGCCTTAACTTTATCTAAATAATACAACACTAAATGTCACACTAGATATCTAAGTCCTCCTTTAATGAATGTGAGTAAATAAATCCAGGTGCTTGTTCCACCACTTTATGAAGATAGTTTTATGTCAGCTGGTGGTGTAGTAATCACTTTGATTGTTCCAATAGGTTGTACAGTAGTCGCCGAGCTTGTAGCATGTAAATGAGACCTACCTTCTCTTTCCTCTGTCGGCATGCCTCCTCTGCTGAGAGCAAGGTTTTGTAGTAGGCACTGCGCTCTGCTGTAAAGTGGACCTTGGACAGAGCGTTTTCTACCAGCGCCACTGACAGATTCACACCCTCGATGTGCAGCCAGCCAATGAAGTTCCCTGCTTTGTCCATGCTCTCCACTTCAACTTCCACCTGGAACAGAGGAACACCGGGGAAGAGGGGGGGAGGGAGGGGATGAAGAAAAGAGGACGAGTTAATGTTCTGTGTCCAAGATTAGGTTTGAGATTCAATTACAGCAATGAAGTGAACATGGGGGGGGGGGGGCAGGGGGTGTCCTGTGAGGAGACACCACTGTTTTTAAATAGACACATCAATGAAGGCCCGTGAGCTCTCTCTATTGATTCAGTAGCACACACACACACAGATTCTGTTTCATTCCCCCATTGTGGATTTACCAATCAGTGGTATCTGGTCTTGGTCAGCGTAGCACACATATTTTCCAACACAAACACCCAGTGGTGGCCTCTTGTCTGAGTGCACACTGAGGCCAACTTGTACATCCAATAAGAAAAGAAAAGATCTCAATCAAGCATCGGCATATTTCATATCAAACAGGGATGAGTGAGTACACCATTTTCTTTATCTCCATCTGTATCAGTTCCACCAACTAAATGATCTGTATCTATATCCATATTCGGAAACAAGAAGTGGGTGTGGCTTAACACAAGTTTTCGTTGATGTGACTTGATCAAAAGTTGATGTATTTATTTCTAATTGAAAACTATTTACAGAACAGTCGTAGAATTGAGCTTCAAATCACCATTGATTGCAAGAGTAACCGAACTACTGAGGTACCAAGATGAGGATTTTCCTTCATCATGATTACGGACATCGACAGATTTTACTTGGATGATACTCTTGCTCATAAAAAGTAAAATTTCTGTACTATACACTTGTTTTATCAAAGTATTCAGCAACACAAAAAAGGATGATCACTAAAAAAAGATGTGTCCTAAATATTTTTCTTTACAAAATTTAAGAAAGTTATGTAGGGCTGCCCCCTACTAAGAATTTTCCTAGTTGACCAACAGTTGTCATTTAAGGCCATTAGTCGACTAGCTGCCCGCATGTTTATGATATTAATTTAAGTATTAAATGATCTATTTTGGACGGGGCAACACAATGGTTTGAGTTGAAGGTGTGAGAAAGAATAGTATCAGTAACATTGTTAACACTGTGCTACATTACAGAGAAATACAAAACTGTACTAATGAACCTTCATTAATATAGGCCTATATTTTATCTACAAGTGCACGTCACACACTGAGCGAGCCGCCTGTTAATGACTCTGTGGGCTAATGGGCATGTAGCTACTTCCATGTTTCAGATGATACATCATGTTTGCAGTCGACCAATGAAGATGAGTTTACATATCACCTTGGGTTCGTCCTTCACCTTCTCAAAATGATTCCACACTTTGGATTTCCTGCCCGACATGTTATTAACTAGCCTGTGGAATAACCGCAGGTACCAGCCCTGGAAATTAACCTGACTCCTGTCTGAGTGTGTCTGTCCTTTCAAATTAAATTCCCACATGGTCCTGTTATACAGGTTTTGATTTATTTTGACAAGGTGCAGCAACCAATGAAATCTTACCTTTGTGGTCGACTAACGTTTGGACGAATATTAGGGGGCAACCCTAGCCTAGTGATGATGTCAGTATGTATTAGTGCTACTGTCAGAGTTTAAAGCATATTTTGATTATTGTCTGGATAATATTGCGCATTGCAGTTATTTTTGGCACAATAAACGTGACATGAAATGCTCATGGTCCCATGCCTCGTGTCAATTTGCAAACACTTAAACTCTTAAGTGCTGAAATCCCAGGGTCTGCACAAACACCATGAGCGGCTTTAAATTAGTGTTGTGTATGCACTTCAACCTTAATTAAGACTCTAAATATTGCCATCCTACTTTTTTTTGTAATGTAAATCATTTGCAATTAGTGACAGCAAAGTTGCAATTCCCTTAAGTTAACAAATGAGGGCACTGAAATAGCTAACCCTGCTGACAAAGTAGGAAAGATATCCCAACAATTTCCCACGATGGACTATAACCAAATTCTGCCTATTCAGGCTAATTATCTATTCATTACATTTTGTTTCATAAGTGATGGACGACCAGGGGAAGAAGAGGGGGGGAAAAGAAAAGAAAAATCAATCGATTTTTTTTTTCTCCCCTACTCTAAAGCCTCAGTCAGCGAGAAAGTGAGAGGGCAGGTGTGCTGAAGAGATAGGGAGAAGTCAAGCGATTAAGACTCGGGCTGCTTAGCCCTGCAGCCACAGGGGAAATCTGAGGGGAATTAAGTTTGTAAACTGCTCTGCCTTGTTCTCAACTAAAGTAAAAAGCTTTTATTAATGAATGCATAATCGGTTCTATTATTAAGCTCAAAACTGACAACCTCGGCATATAGCAGCAACATATATACATTATATTTCCACTTTCTGGATCCAGTTTAAATCGAGCCAACAGCAGTGTGGAAACTAAAATGTGTAAAGATTCTGTTGTAGCAGCACTCAGTAAAAAACAGATGTCTGCAATTTGGGTCCCACAGTTTATGCCATGTACAAAGGTGGTTGTTATATATTAAATATTAACCTTAATAATAATAATTGTGCCTTTCTCTAACTTGTTAAAAGGCACATTAAAGTCTCTATAAAATACAAAAGAGCAGCTAGGACATTTGTCTACCCTCCCAGGTCCTGACCGTGATACAATCTAAGTTCACTCATACCTCATCTGCTTCTGCATAATCTGCTTTCTCTTACTCTCCTCTTCTCGTCTCTTCCTCTCTGCTATCTCAGATACTCACCCCATTTTATCTCCCTTTGTCTCTAAGTGCAGAAGCGGTTACATAACTAGGCTATTAGAGCAGCACTGGTCCTCCGAGCACCCGAATGTCAAAGTGGGCGAGTGCTGGAGAAAAAAAAAAAAAAAGAAAAGCTGGAATGGCTAACTTAACTGTCACCCACTACCACCACTAAGGCAGCGAATGCAAAAACAAAAATAAAACAACACTGACAACTAAACACAACACTCACACACTAGCTGGGAAAAATGCCAATCTGGAGGGAAAATAGAAAGCTCATCTTTCCTGACTAAATCTGCTCGATGAGGTGTTATAAAATTTTATGCAAAAATTAGAACAATAAAATCTGCACACTGAAAGCTCCTGAACCGAAATCCATTGTAACCACGAAAAACGAAAAAGGGGAGATACAGAGATTGTTCGAGCTGCCTTTGTAGAATGAGTTGAAGACTTGTGATTGCCCATTCTTCAGTCTGATCAGCAGGTGAGCTCTGACAATCCTTCATTAGCTGACAATGGCCTGCAGCACAAATTCACAGACGGGGGGGGGTTATTGGATCATGCCAATAAGAGATTTTATCATAGTTCATGGGGGAAATTGCACATTCAAAAAACATCCTGTTTGCGCCTTCACTAAAAAAGGGAAAAAACCTCTCAAAATCACTCGACATGGATTTTAATTTAGGTGCAGAAGCCATCTTGAGGTCAAGGAGAAAACCTGTACACCCATATGTTAACTTGACAAAAGTATAATTCTTCTGCAGCATCTAGATAAATGTGAATGTCAACACCATGTGGAAAAGTCACAGCAGGACATTCAGATCAGTCACGCTTTAATGGGGTCGGATGTGACCATGTGGCACCCAGAGGCGAGAGAGGTAAAGATACACTGGCTGAGGGGAGAGAAGTGTTTAAGTTAAATTATTGGAAACTCAGAAATGTTTCGATCGTAACAGAGCAAATTAGTCTGGGTTTGCCCAGACCACTTAAAGGGGGAAATGTCATTTACCACATACCGTTTGCCTTATGGAAAGAAAATTAGCCTGCTACTGACAACAGCACATTATGACTAGAGGGGGTGGCATGACTGCACACAGCATTAATAACAACAAACAGGCTTAGTGTCAGGAGTATACATATCCAACCTTACATGATGTGATTGACAAACAGGAGCTCAGTCAACACACTGAAAGGACTTTTTGTGCTTTACACACTACACTAACAGATCAGTTCGAATGTACATTGTACTTTTTAATGTGTATGACAATAAACTAGTCATTCAATAGAAATCAAATCATATCTGTTGTCAGATTTATCTTTATGAAATAGCACAATACCCAGACTGAAGTCAAACATATGTAAATTATAAACCCTGGGTGACCGAGATCTTTAAAGCGCCATTAAATAAAAAGAAACTGGCGTCTCGTCGGGCAGCGGGAAAGAGATGAAAGAGGTTAACAGAGAGGTCAAATATGAAATTAAGAAGGACAAATTAATTCATAAAAAGAGAGCGGAGGCCCAGTTTTCCACTGGCAGAATAAGATCAGCTTGGAGAGGCTTTGAATCCATGGCAGGATCGCAGAGTAATACTAGTGTTGGTGCAATATGTCGCGCTTAATATGAGAAATGTAGCGATAACAGCTCGTTTATTCCGTTAGCAATCATTGCCAATAATGAGAACTTTCTCTGTCTTGCTGATTCCTGTTCTTGCTTAAGGCTGTTTTTAACTATTGGTTTGATTTTTTAAAACATTACTTTTATCTATTATTCTGCTGCTTTTCAGCTGTATGTGTAATTAAGTTCAAGCCTCTCTGGCTTTTAGATAAATCATATATTATTACAGAGCACTGCTGAGATCTGTCAAGCTACAGCCAGCAATTTCCATTTTTCTGACATTGTATAGAAAATGATTACTCAAAGAAACAATCCATAGATTTATAAACCTTGCTTAAGGTTTACTGCAACCCATAAGGAACTGTTCCAACACCATTTGTGTAAAGAAACAGGGCCACAGCAGAGCTCAGGAGCTACTGTAGACCTTAAGACTGAATTCCAGAGTTAAACAAACACACACACATGGAATTTGAGTTCCTCCTCGCTTTAAAGTAAATAGCTTTGGTCACAATGTGGAGAGGACAGGGAAGGCGGAGTGGAAACTGCTCTGAGTAGAGCCCAGATGGTTCCCAGCGGAGGCTTCCTCCGAGCCAAAATGGCTCCCGCCGGAACACAAATGGGCTCTGGTAATCTCATAAACGCTAGGATTGTGTCGACACAGTGGACGGAAAAGAGAAAAAAGGCAAAACGCGCATACACACTAGGCCGC